GGTGGCCCACGCCTTTAATCCCAGCACTTGGGAGGCAGAGGCAGGTGGATCTCTGGGAGTTCAAGGCCAGCCTGGTCTACATAGTGAGTTCTAGGCCAGCTGGGACTACAGGGAGACCCTGTCTCAAAAACACCAAAAAAACAAAAAAACAAAAAACAAAACAAAAAACAAAAGCAGAATGAAGAATAAAGTTGAAATTTGGCTGGTGAGTGGGTAAATGGAATGCAGTATAGTTACATGGTGGACTACTCCTCAGCAGTAAAATGAAATAAGATGCACCCATGGTATGGATGGACCTCAAATATTACAAGAGAAAGAAGCCAGACACAAAAGACCACATGCTATTTGGTGAAAGATCCAGAAAGGGGCACCTCTATAGAGGCAGAAAGCAGGTGCTTGCAGGGACTGGAGGCAGGAAGGGAGGCTAACTACAAAGGATGCAAGGGCTCTTATTGAGGCGATGGAATTTATATCATGGCAGTGCTTACACAGACCTCTACAAATGTAAAATTGCCATAGATCATTGAATTTTATGCTGGAAAATGAATGACTATTATGGTATGTAGATTATACCCAGGGTACAAAGGAGAACAATTCACAGAAAAGTTGAATAAAAGAGACTAACTTCTCACTGTACTCTAATGAGTGTTTATGGCCAAGGAAAAAGAATATTAAAATGCACTGTGTCCTCTGTCTAGCAGGGTGTGCAGTACGTATTGCAAGTTTTCCCTCTTAAATTTCTTAAGGGACTGCTGAGTTTTCATTTATAAGTTCTGTTTTTTGGAATTGGGTTCAATTTGTACTTTGGGGAAATTTATCTCTCCAGTTTCTTTTCTTAAATTTACTTTTAAGATGTTCTCTTTAAAAAAAAACCACTTTATTTCCATTTCGTGTATTTGAGTATTTTTCCTGCATGTATACAAGTGCAACTATGTTGTACAGTGCCTCCGGAGGCCAGAGGAGGACATTAGAACCTGGAACTGGAGTTCTGGATGGTTGTTAGCTATGATGTGCGTTCTGGGAATCCTTTCAGCCATGGATGGTGGCCTCTCAGAACCCACTCTGACTTTCAGCCATGGATGGTGGCCTCTCAGAACCCACTCTGACTTTCAGCCATGGATGGTGGCCTCTCAGAACCCACTCTGACTTTCAGCCATGGATGGTGGCCTCTCAGAACCCACTTGACTTTCAGCCGTGGATGGTGCACTATGAACACAAAAAGCAAGAATGGAATATCTGACTTCTAGTCCAGTTTTGCTGCTCTTCAGCCCTCTGACTATCCATACAGAAAATGAGCATGATAGGTTCTATTATGGGATGTGAAAACCGGGTACCATTTTATAAAGCAACCTGCATAGTTGCACATAGTAGGGTTCTTGTATATAGCATGTGCACTACATTTTATTTAGCGATGGACAGGTAGGCACAGGCTGAAGTGAGTCCTTGCCCCTAGAGTGTGCTGAGATGTTGAGTGGTTTGTGGCCTCAGTTCCCTTTTCAGAACTGACTGGTGTATTTGCTCTTCGTTTGCTCTGCTTTGACCTTATCTGTCTGCCGCCTTTCTTCCCAGCATGCACCTCAGCTGCCAGGCTCCCTGTGTGTTTGCCACAGCATGCCTCTGCAGCCTCTGCATGTCCCAGCACTCACAGGGTGCTACCGAAGGTTTGCTTGAGTAGAGTCAAGGGCTGTGTTACAGAGGACCTCATTCATGTGTGGGAATCCCGTCCTGCCACCTACAGCTCCCCTAGTTGACAGCTGATGAAACCACTGAAGAATGTGGTGTCTGTGGTTGGCCACATTTCACAGTTGTCCCTGAGGTTAGATGGTATTGCTGCTTACAGAGCTCGGCCCCTCTGCCCCGCCCCCCCCAGCCTCCCTTCAACTTCCTGCTTTGGCTAGTGTACTGCCTTTCTGTGTTGTTGGCTGTTTTAAAAATGAGGGTCTGGCAAAAGGATTCACATGTGTTTGGTACTTAATACTCTTAGGCTCTGAAGGCAGGGCATGATTCCTTAAGCAGCTTGTAGCTCAGTCCCATGACCTAAATATTTTATCTTCCCGACCCCTTAGGAAGATGGGGGGTTCAGAGAGTCTAATTGACTCGGCCTGCCACACACAGCAAGTAATGGGATAGTTGGGATTCCTGTCAAATCTGATCATAGTTCTTTCTTTTATGCCATTGTGGAGTAAAAAGAATAATTCTGAGTGTTTTATTTTGGAGGTCAGGAGGTGGGAGGGGGTAATCTGCCAAACGTGGAGGACTGCTAATTCTTCCAACCAGAGCCTTCTCTGGCATGAACAATGTTATACCCATCAGGAAGCACTGTAGAAAAATCTGGATTGGGATCCTGCCCTGAGAGCTGAGCAGAGCCTCCACTGAGCAGGAGCACTGGGCATTGGTTGCCCCTTCCTGACAGGAGGAGCTTCTGCCACAGGCCCAGGCACTCCCTGCTGTACCGTCTTCTCAGGACTAGTGTCTGTCTAGCCTACAAGCACTGGATTGTGCAACCCTGGGTCTTCCACAGCTACCATTTACTCTTACATGACTACATTTAGACTATAAACATGTTTTTATTTTCCTCCGGTGTCCCTAATCCCCATGAACTCCTGATTTCTCCTCCATTAGTGACTATCGCTTGGCACACTATTAAAATGGCCCAAGGTCTCTAGCTACTAGCTGGCATGAACAATGTTATACCCATCAGGAAGCACTGTAGAAAAGTCCGGATTGGGATCCTGCCCTGAGAGCTGAGCAGAGCCTCCACTGAGCAGGAGCACTGGGCATTGGTTGCCCCTTCCTGACAGGAGGAGCTTCTGCCACAGGCCCAGGCACTCCCTGCTGTACCGTCTTCTCAGGACTAGTGTCTGCCTAGCCTACAAGCACTGGATTGTGCCACCCTGGGTCTTCCACAGCTACCATTTACTCTTACGTGACTACATTTAGACTATGAACATGTTT